TAATAGGTTTATAATTATGCACTCTTTTAGCTTCCCAGTTCCGCAGCATCCCTGCTATTACAATTTAATTAAAATAGCATAAAAAGGCAACACAGCTGGTTAGGATAGCAGACTAACAGGCTGAAAAGTGAGACGAGATTCTGATAGACCCCTGGTAAATAGCATGCCTTAGTAACTCTGGTGGGCAACTATCCAAGAGGGGGACTGGGATTCCATACCGTGATTACGGAGTAAGCCCACAGTCATTTAACTTTGACATCGCTGCGCTTCATTTGGCACACACTGTGTTGGGTACTGGCTATTCTAAAATAGTTGGAACTTTATTTTTAAATCTTTTAAGAGATTTAAAGTTTGTAATGTGATTTTATTGGGCTTAAAAATATATAAATATTTTAAGTTATAAAAGGGTTTTAAACGAAGTACTGATTAACCTTCTTTTTTTATTACTTGTCAGGTTATTTTATTTACATACTGTTTATTATGTTTAAACATAATGTAATTTATTATTAAATGCATTTAATATTTAATAATAATTTGCGAGTACACTTACCCATTTTTTTAAGCGACTACCATAAGTATCAGGGTCATTAGTGGCGATTAAGCTCTCCTCTTTATAACACAACATTATGCAGCTACCGCAAATTATGGTACTGCCAAAGGGTATTCACTTGACACCCTCATCCTTTTATACGTGTGTCCTCTAGTATCCTGTGCGTTTTGCCGTACAGGGTAATGGGAGCTCGAAGCCATTTAATTAATGCTGAGCATTAAGCGCGATTATGTGGAATAAATGAGCAGAAGAACCGGTAAAAGCGATTACTTCGCTGCAGGATGGGGCAATGGCTGAAACAACTCACTTAATGGTCAATTGACTAAGAGCAGCTTTTGCAAGTGTTAAATTGAACCTGAATCGATGCACCTTGCAGGATTTAACAAAACCAATCTCCCAGTTTATGAATCCATTAAACTTTGCCAAACTTTCATCGACCCTAAAGAAGCCTGATTTAAACCGAAAACAAGAAGCTTCTCGAAGTTGAAGGAAATCAAATCAATTTTTGCTACTCACGCATAATGTGAACAGCGGGCAAACAAACAAACAACAAAGACAAACAAACCTGGGCTAACCAGCAACATGTGGGAGTTGAAAAATGTATGCCGCTCGCGTAAATTATTCAAAAAATTCCGCTTGTTCAAAGGCCTGAAAATGATAAGAGATAAGCAGAAGCGTTGGAGTGTTCTAAGGTTAAAAGTGCGAAAAGAAAAAATGTGTGCCAAACAAAAAGAATATAAAGTAAACAAGCAGCCAGCGAAAAACTTCAGATTGCAAATAATAAAGGGCAAAAAAGATAAGGAGACTGGGGCAGAAAATACTGCCAGTCATGTCGAAATCCTCTGTTGCAGGTAATTGAAGAAGAACGAAAGTAGCAGGGGTAAAAAAAAATAATGGGGGAGGACAGCCAGCGAAATATGCTTTATTGATTGGATAAATATTTAATGCACTTTCGCGTTTCGCCGGCGAAACACTTTGGCGGCCGAGGGGTTTGGCAAATTTGCGTGTGAAATGGCTTATTACGGTCACGTTTTACCCATAAAAGTAGAAAGTTATATACACAACTCACAGGACATACCGTTCCACCTGTCCTAGAGCCCCAAAAAACCCACAGGACCCGGGCGATAGTAGCTCCAAGGAAGGAAAGAGGACAATTGCAGGTAAATTGATCGGAATTTATTGAAGCCTCTACTAAGGAATTACCCAGAAGACCCTTAACTTCCCCTGCGAAAGCCAACTTTTGCGGCATGCAAATTAGCTGCAAAAGTTTGTGTGTATGAAAACACACCTGGCAAATGTTGGATAATTTTTACACTGAAGGAAATTGAAAAGGAAATACCATCCGAACTATAGCTTGATTTCTGAATGCACTTAGATTATTTATTATTTAAAATGTATCTATATATTTATTGGAAGGTTTAGGCAGTATTGAACATTTCTACTATTTTAAAAGCTATCTAACCTTTAACCTAGCTTGCACTTGCATACAATTTATATGTGAATGTATTTTAAGTATGAGTAATAATTGTATCCTTTTGTGGAATTTTAGCCAATATCAAATTCATAATTTCTGTGGAAAAGCATCGTTTGAGAATTTTTTCCCCGGAAGACAATCAAAATGGGTAGTTTACCCCAAGCACTATGAAGTGTTAAACAAGTGGCTGCTTCATTTTAACAACTAACCACTTAGTTTAGAGGAACCTATAAGCCATCTCTTTATCTTGTCAACCAGGTAACTACTAACTTTATGGAGCTACCAAAAAGGGGGTGGTGCTATTTACCGCTGGGCTCCGATGACGTTTAACATCATTAACTGTGTCCTTTCATGTTTTGGTGGTCTTGGTCAAGGCAAAACAAACAGTCCAAGAGCAGCCAGCCTTTCAGGGCCACAGGAGCTGGACAAAAGCCCTTCATTTGTTTGTTGAATTTCCTGACCTGGCGTTTGGGGTTGGCTGGGCTGAGGGTTATTTACCCTCGCTGTCGTTGGGTCCACTTTATTTGTCTGTTTGCTGTTGTGCTGTAAAAACTGTGTAAAAATCACGTTCATCACATAAACACAGTTGTAGCCACATTACGCACGAAAAACGGACCACAGGGCTGTAGGGCTGGCATAATTAATTACCCCTTGGCCGCAAACATTCTACAGCGACTGTCTGGCCATCGAAACCCCCATGAATTTCTCAGGGCCCTCTCACATTGGTTAGACCCAAAAATAGCCCGGCAGGATTGCTTGCAAGGCCATGGCTATAGTATCTGGCATTCTGGGATTGTGGCGGCCAAAGGGGTCAGGTGTCAAACTTGAACTGACCGCTTGTGGATTGAATTTACTGGTATGCCAGCTTATACTTCATGGTAACTGAATATAGCTCCGGGCTAAAATTAATTCTCATAATTGCATTTCATTGAAAAACCACAATGATTCGATACATTCCAGGAATTCACCGTTGAGAGCAAGGATATCGGAATAAATGCCACTGTTGAAAGTGATGATTTAACAGAGAAAAATAATATAACAGTCTATTTGTGCTATCTCTAATTGGGCTAGACAGTTTGAAAGCTGATTAGATTATTATAGCATGTAAATGATTACCTTTCAGTTGCTAACTGAGATACAATTTCAAACATCATGCTGAATGTGTATAGTCAAATAAATCAAATAAATACGAGCACCAACTTTTAGTTGTTAACGAAGATATACTATGACCATCATGTCTATTGTGCCAAGCTGACTAAATCAAATAAGTATTAGTTTCTCCTTTTTTGAACTATTATTTAGCTTACAACTTGTAGGATACCATAGCTATTGAGTATCTTCTTGAAATCCTATTTCAAACATTCTTAAGTTCTCCGACTTGCCTGGGGAGTTCTGACACTTGTCTAATTGATGGCAGTAGAGTCAGGATAGAAGAGCACCTTCCATATTGTACAATCCAGTTTCAATCTCTCAGTTTCTTAATTAAGACAAGACATTGAAGTGGGCTAAATTAAGCGATCTGCTGGCCAAAGGGGTCATAAATCGAACCCATGGGGATACCCATTACCCAAAATGTACAAGTGAGCAGCATTCAATTACGAGTCCAAATGAGAACTTTGAGATTTCCCATCGCCCCGGTGCAATTGTCATAATTAAGAGTGATGAATGAGTCGGGAACATGAAGCCAGTTTGAGTTGGAATTGCGAACATGGATTGTCTTTAACCATCATCGGATCTTAGACTGCAGATGGCGTGTCTGGCATTTTTGTTAATAGTTTTCAATTGCATGTTCTTGGCCAAACAGCATTCCTTATGTCCGTGGAAACGGAAGTTCTCAAGCCAAGTCAAGTTCCTCAACTTGACTTCTTGGCTCCGCTGATGAATTGCACAAATTAAAGCTGAAAGATATTTTAAATGAAAATGTTAAAAATGCGGTTCATGCTAGTTGGTTCTTCTCCGCTTCTTTCTCTTTTGTTTGTCGCCGTCTTTCCGTTTTCCTGTCGTCTGAACGGCTTTTTTGTTCTTGGCCAAGATACGGAACAGATTATATGGATAATTTCAATTTGTCTGGGTTTAGAAGCGCAACGAGTAAATCACTTCTGTGGAACTCATTATAGTTACAATCTCTTCAGATGCACTTGAACTGGCTTAAGTTGGCACTGAGCAGTTTAATTAGTAGTAGGGTAATTACTTAATTCTTATCCTAAATCAGAGACTTAATTGCTTTTTTTTTTAAACCCCTCTCCTCAAAATTTCTTTTTCTTCGCACCTCTATAAAATATTAATTACATCATCCTCATAGACCGCCCATTTAATCAGGTTATCAGACAAAACCACAATAGTCATAAGCTCATAAATTTCAGCCTTACGTCAGCCCCCTCAAAATACAGGGAAACTAATGAAAGGACGCCTACTCTTATCAGTGGGCGAAGCCAAACCACAGGTTGCAGAATTTTACGGTCAGTTTCGCATTTCATTTGGGCTAATATACATTCAAATCAAAACTCGTATATAAAACACTAATTATAATTGCCTGAAGGAGTCCGAAAAGTGGGCGGCATGAATAAATTTCCCGAAATTCATTTTAATGGCAGCTTAATGTAATTCATTTTATGCATAATGACATTTTCCGTTCTGCTCGCTGCGTGGCATTGTAATGGAATTTGCATTGTGGCATCTGTCGCCTCGGTGCCCACGGGGTGTATGCGTATTTTCAGTTTTTGCAAAGCTCCCGGGGTGAATAAAGGATTGTTGAAAACATTTTTACCTTCACAACGCAGCTACAATCCGCGAAAATTATTCCACTACATATGCTTAATTGCAAGGTGGACAATAAAGTTCTTAAACAATCACTGAAAAAAAGGCTTTAATTTAAGTAAATATGCGCAGGAAATTCATCTTCCATTGGTTGCTGTGTTTCTTTCCGCTCGAGGAGCAAACATTGACTATTAATAAAATACTCCTGCATCTTTCCAGGCATCACGTTCTCGGCTCCGGTCCAGTGCGCATCCATCGGGTTTTCCATGCTGGCCGACCAGATGCAGATAGCCCCGGCGTGAGCACACACACACACACATCGGGCAGGAAAAGATATAGCTAAAGAGCCACAGCTACGGACACATCGTATATTTCCCAGCCAAATGTATGCCGGCCGGGCGACACAATTTGCCAAAACCATCAGCAGCATGGCGTGCAGCATTCAGAAGCAACCTCAGGCCCCAACATCGGTGGATCCTGGCACGACTGGAGTGGAACGAGTGGGCGGAGGAGGAGGAGGTGGTGGCCCCAGTGGAGCTGGCACCGTTCCCTCCACACCGAAATCCAACAAGTCCGCCCAGCCGAGGGGCTCCCTGCCAACGGATGTTAGCAACCAGCCACCGTTGGAATTCCAATGGCCACCGCCCGTTCCGGTTTCGATTCACACGAGCAACTTGCGGCTGAATATGATGAACCAGGATCCCAAGGACCTCCACACGGCCAGGGCAATCATCGAGGAGCTGCGCTCCAAGGTGCGATTCCAGACGGAGCACATCATGAAGTGGCGCAAGGCGTACGCTATGCAGGTGGTTATCAAAAGCAAATATACTGATCAGTCATATGGTTAATACAAAATATTTATTTTTGAAAATATCCGCTTCTGTCCTAAAAAAGAAAAACTTAAGAGCATTTTCGTCTTTATTTCAAGAACGTTTCTTCTCGAACAAGTGAGAACAATAATATTTCAAAGGAGATCATTTGACTTTGTCTTTATTTTAAGAATGTTTCTGCTTAAAAAATTGAGAAGATGCTTTTTTTAACTAGATCATTTATTATTGTCTTTTTTTCAAGAAGGATTCTTCTTGAATAAGGGAGAAGTCGATTTTTGTATAAAAAATAATTTAACGTTTGCTTGTTAGCCTTCTCAATTCTTCTGGCCTCTCAATAGTATTTAAAGATTTTTTAAAACCACTAATCTAACCCAACTGCAATCCATAAATTCGCCACAGGTTCAGCAGCACTATCGGTATCAAAAGGAGAAGTCAGATCAGATGAACTCGCTCACCTCGCAACTCCTACTCCTGGAATCCCGGCTGAAGCGGAAGCAGAAGCAGATCGCCAGCCTGTTGAACCACCGAGAGTTGACCATTCAGCGACAGCAGAAGATCATCGACACGTTGTCTTCGCGCCTGGTGGACCATGGTCTGGAGACTATCGAAGCCAGCTATGCCAATGAACTGGACTCCCTAAACGATTCCGATTCGGCGGTGGTGCTGGAGGACATCGACTCGGACAGCCCGATGACCTTGGGCACGCGACGAAAGAGCAGTGGAGCTGGTGGATTGGGTGGGGTGCTGGGCAGCGATGGTATCACCATAGTACGCTCCATATCCGACGCCATCGAAACAAATCACAACAAGTACGGAGCGGCTAGGCGAAACAACTGCTTTCTAAGGCGCCCCGATATCCTGGAGACGGTTTACTCCGTCGAGGAGGATCCCGAGCCCACCACGGATGTGGCCGAGAAGCGGGACAAGTTCAAGAACCGCTCGGACAAGGCCCTCAGCTCCAGCTCGACCGAGGGTCAGATAGACGCCACCAGTCCCTCGGCCGCCGACAAAGCCAAAGAGTCCTCGCCCGTAGACGGCGGACCCACCATTCCAAGACGCCAATTGGGAGCCCTCAAGAGGTCGCCCAGCCACGATTCACCCTGCACCACGCTCAGTGTCAAGGTGCCCCAGCTTCAGCCACCATCTCCTCCTCCCCCATCGGCTTCGGGAGCACAGGAACCGCTCAACGGAAAGAACCAGGTAAATGGAAGCTACAAGTTAAAATGCTCTTAGTTTTAAATTCAAGATTTAGTAATTTATAAGAATTGGGTGTCCCAAATTATAATAATTCATATCAAATTCCATATGAGTGGGTATTATGGTTGCATATTTGTATTGCTCCTGTTCAATATGGCATATCACTTTTAACAAAATTCTGAACAAAGAAAGACCAAACCTATTTCCCAAGAAAAGAACATTTCTTAATTTTCCTACATGCTATCCCAATTAAAGTTTGTTTTCTTTTAAATCTTAGTAAATATTTTTTTTAGATTTGTCTCCTTTATAAGGATTATTATAAAGCAACAACATTTCGTATGTAATAAATTAAAAAATAGTAACATTATTTCCTTGATTTGGAAAATGCCAAATAATACTACATTTTTTTTTTTGATGCTTCAACTTTTTAGTTAAAATTCTTTATATAATATCCTTACTCCACTAATAATTTACTTCTAAGGAGCTAAGATGGTTATTTTTAAAGTTCTTAATTTATATGACAACCAAAAAAGTAAAGGAATATTTTCTGCTAATATAGACTTGCCTTTTCAGGTAACTAACTACAACCGGGTCATGCTGAACCATCGCTCAGTGACGAAGCCCAAGGACGTAAAGTACAAGCGCATCAACAAGGCCAAGTCCAAGAGTCTGGAGGAGTTGCGTGGGCGTCTTAAGAACTTGGTGGAGCGGCCTCCGGGATTGGATGGTGGATACTCTGGCGGCATGATGCCGCAGACGGCGCAGTCGTATGCGTGACATTTGCAGCAGCCGGACGAGGACGCCCCGAGGTCAGCGGTAGAGGAGAGGAAAGGTCAGCCGGAGGAGGAGACCGCAAGGCAGGGAGGACCTCGTCCGCGGAGGGAGAGCGCGGAGCCAATGACCTCCACTTCGACTTTGACCTCTGCCCTCCAGGAGCCGCAGGCTGGCAGACATGGCTTTCCCAAGAGGTCGCTGACCTTGCCGCGAATCCTGGTGCCCCGCCAATCGACGGCGGGACTGGCCAGTTCCAGCGGCGGGGGCGGAGGCGGCGGCGGTGGGCGTGGCGGCTTCTAGCAATTAAAGAAATTTTTCATACGCAATTGTGATAAAAAGTAAAAACATATTCTTCCTCCGTCTCTGTGCTGTCCATTTCAGTTGCTTTAACATGATTCTCTTTTGTAACATTTGTTTCCTTGACATTTATCCTGAGCTTAGTTTTGGTAAACTTTGCATTTACTTAAGTTTAGTTTTAGTTTTACAAACGGAACTGCATTTTAACTTAACATTACATCTAATTTCACAAGTAAATAAATAATTTTTTAAACTTATTTCTGTCTATGATTTCTTAAACTTAACAAAAAAAGCGTATGAAAAATTTCGCATGTTTGTGGTTACAACCGTAAGTCAAATATTTTACATATGAACGGAAAGTGTACTCGAGGACAATATTTCAAAATCCCAGAAGTTGAATGGTGAGTAGCTCCAGTCAGTCCCAGAATTGTGGGTGAAAATAGGCTAGAAAGGATATTATACAAATTTACTCAAGGTATTACTAATTAGCGGATAAGAATAAATACGTATGTGTAAGCAAAATGTTACTTGTTAGTATTATATTTTCCGCAAAATTTAAGAGCTTCTCTGAACTATTCCCTACACACATAAAGCATTCAAGCATTTCGGCAAGCTTTTGAAAACTATACAACCAAATATATTAGAACGTATTTCTCTATTGATATTCGACCTAGTTGTAAGCTCTACTCCATGGACTGTCTTCTAGATAACAGAATTTACAATTGATCATAAATATTTAGCAGTATATTTTCTTACTAACTATTACTAGCTATTTATAAAATATTTAATAACTTTAATTAGCGTAAGTGAAGAAAAACATATTTTATTTTCGCGTTTTATGGAGATTATTTTGTAACTTGTTATCGACTATTGGGGTCTCAAGGGACCCCAATGTCCTAAATGTCAGAAGTACCTTGAAAACTCGTAAAATTACTGTAACGATAAAAATCAGCATAAATATTAGAAAATCTGTTAGAATCTATTTTGGTGTGAACTTTGACAATGGCTGCTATCAGGTCTCAATTATGAATAATACAAATATTTGAAAGCCAAATCAGTACAATGCTTGGACAGCTGCAACACATAAAAACTATATATTCGGAAAAACATATATCATATAATATCAATATGCAACTCGGTGTTTCAGTCAATGTCCTATAGCAACAATACGTACCTACATGTGTGTTAACTCAAAATGCAGCTATAAATCGTTAAAAGAACATATTCCCAGGATCTTACTATTAGAATTTGCATACGTCATGTGAATAAAAGCTATAGATACAGTTATATGTAATTGGTAAAACAATACTATTAAATTCCTGAGTCAATTTGGACGTTAATTTAAATATTATAAGCCGATTGTTGCGAATGCATTTACAGTGCATTGGCCAACAACCGTGGGTAAAGCGTGTTATTCTGAATATAATTGTAGTAAAACTATGAATAAGTACTTTTTGCAGAAGCTACAAAAAGTAACTTAGTTTTAAGAACGTTTATCAACAACCCAAACGCTCTTTGTTATTCAAAAATTCCTTGTAAATAAATGATTTCCTTCATATCATATTCCCACGGATAAAAGACTATTTAAATATAGTCTTAAGTTTAATTTCAAGATTAAGAATTACATATTTACACAGTAATCAAGAAGCAGTAATTGTACAAATGATCATGAAAAATTTGAGTCTTCGAATCTGATTAGTTTACGCTATAAGCCAATTTACAAATGCTGAATATAAAAATATATTGTCTCAATCAACATACCGATTCTACTGGGCGTTAAACGGATATACAGTAGCAAGCGATTAGCCTAAGTATATGCTAAGATGTGTAATTTATAAATCTAATTGTTAATGTTATTTGTGTGTATGCAAATTATTACTAACATTCGGCAAGACGGCATCTTTTTTCCTAGCTAGCTTAATTAGATAATCGTACACGAACGAACATTAATGGCCATTAATTTGCTCACTCTACGAAATTCGAATAAACAATACTTGAGATATTTTCTACTTGCGCTTAATAAAACAAACTAAACCTAAACCAGCTGAGATTGTTTGGGCAGGGGTCTTTTGGGATCAGTCTGGGGGATGATCAGTCTCCATCGAGCAGCGATCACGGAAGCATGGCGAGTTCAGAGCGCAGTTCGAGGCTTCTTATCGGCATTACTGCCTGGTCCCTGGCTCTCGGTCTTATCTGCCTGGTGAGTGAGTGAGTTCAAGTTGATTGGTATAGTGCACTTATTGATTTTCGATTACCAGACTTTGGCAGACTCAGTTCCAGACCGTAACCAGACCACCACCATCGCGACAAACACAGTTCAGGCGGTGGAAAGACTCTTCAATCGCGTTCTCATCTCCACCACAGAGGATGCCCGCCAAAGAATTCCCCACCTTCCAGCCAACGAAACCATCGATAGGCAATACTTCGAGGAACTGGACCTGATTGCCGGAAACGAAGATTACTACAGCACTGCGTACTATATCTTTGCCTGGATTAACAGCGATCTGATGTATAATAAAACCCCTGATAAACTGCTCGTCGAAGTTCTGCCAGGCGAGAAAATCGCAATCCGGAACTTTTTCGACAAGGTCAAGCCGTTTCTTACCAAATATCTGCGAACCAGTCGACAGGACAGGACGGAATTGGTTGCCAATATTACCCGATTGGCCACCGAAACCGATGACAGTCTGATCATGTCCTATCTGGAATTTCCCCAAACCCTCAAGGGGCAACTTCCTGAGCTCCACTTAATGGACTATACCAAACTTGCCCAGGCTCTAGTACAGGGCGTGGCCAGGGGTATTTGGACGAGTTTATAGTTAATATCTTTAAACTATAAAATATATAAGTACACAACTCAATGTAATAAAGACAAGTTTTAAAAAAATCACAGTCGTTGAAATATCTTGTATGCTTCCGATGCTACGATTAAAAAAATTTAAGAAAATATCTTTCCGGAAAGTGGCTTAATAAGCGCTTTGTTTTAATTTCTCAAAGAAAAGTTCGTGTTTTTATCCGGCATTCTAAACAAAGATATAAACAGAAACGTGATATCAGAAATAGCTAGAGAACTGTATAATCAAAAGGAAGATGTGTTTCTCCAACCGAAAATTAAAATTCAAATGGGCAGTATTCGTCTAAAACGTTCTTATCACGCTCAACAATTTTCGAAGACTGATTACAGTCTACTGTCAGTCCCACGATCTCTCGCTATTTATTAGAGAGGCGTTTTCGTTTTTGTTTACAACTTTGTGAAGTTATGACGTATTAAAAGAGGGTTTATAAAAGGAATCCGGAACAGTGAAGTTAACTACAGTTTGAATACAATGGCTAGCAGAACAACTTGGACTTTTCTATTCGCATTTGCTGCTTTGCAATCATCGGTAAGGTCCTTTGGTTCTTAATATCCCTTTAAACTAAGGATTTCGCTTTTTTACAGCTCGCAGCACCCGCGGCAAACAGATATCAGTTACAATATGAGGTGACCAACGAACTCTTTCAACTGGTAACAGATGCCTTGGAAGAGTTGAGAAATGTTTTTCAACTGGTCATCGACGAAGCTGAACTTATATTACCGCCGGACTCGAAAGGTCTCATACTCACGGATCTTAAAGAATTTGTCAAGATGTTCGACTCCCTTGATTTGGATGATTCACTCGAGCTGAGCATTCTGGAAGATGCTCTGGAGGAAATGGAAAACATAATTGAAATCGCAGACAGTAAAGAATTCGAGTCTGAAGCGGACGAGGTTGTCGTTCAGTTATTTATACAGCACGGTGGGGAAGACTTGGAGCAGATACTGGAGAGAAATTTGGAAAACACCCTGAAATCTATCGAGCGAAAGGTGGAAAATTATATGAGCTCATGGTCTGACAGTAGATTGGCCAGAAATTCCGATTTAGTTAAGCAGTTTATGGACTTTAAGAACGAGAAGGACGTCTTTGAGAAGTTGGATAAGTTGTCAAACTCCGATTTCATTTAATAAACAATATAATGTTTCCCAATACATTAAAACAAGTATTAACCAATTTGTTTTTTTTTAAATCCAATCTATGAAAATGCATTTATAAGTCATCCAACTGGTTCCCTACATATTTTAGCAATCGTTATCTTACAATATACATCAACATGCTTAGTTCCCGGAAATTGTTGCCCTTTGGAAAGCAGAAGCCCACTACCTATGTAACTGCTTAATTTAATAATATGGATTCCACCTATTGAGAATGCAAATACGACGACGAATAATCCAGAGTTCATCGTTTGTGCTATCACGCTCCCCTTGGGCTAAAGACTGATTACGGCGCACTGCCGATCTCACGATTACTGACTATATATTATACAGGCTGGTTTTTGTTTACAACTTAAAGCAGGGATGACGTACAAAATACGGGAGTGTTATTGTACACGTATTGGTTTTATTAAAAGTTACTTTTACTTTCGTAAGATTTTACATACAATCTTTTATGAGCTTTAAAAATTTTTCTGTTCTTTCAATATAAATAATATTTATTTTTTCAAAAAGGTAAAACAATAGTTAGGCCTTAAACAATTAGTTTTAATTTCAAAAACTCTTGCTTGGTCGCATGGCAAATAATGTTTATATTAGACAGTCAAGTCAATATTGATTGTGCTAATCTCAGACGGCCTCAACTAGTTATACTTGAAATCGGAAATCGTCAACTATCAGCTAAATGCGAAATGGGGAAATCCGTTTGCTTACATTACGAAGTACGAGTTTAAGCTACATACTATTTAAAAAGGCTTTTTGAAATAACATTTCTTAAAAGTTACGGAATGAAGATCCCATTCCATCTCGGGAGTCGTATACATCCCGCTCGATCTGTGGAGGTCCTCGGCCATCCGAGGTGTAGCTATATGATTCAGAACGGAAGAAGTTGTCCGGAGAGCCCCCGGAACCATTTGGGCCACTTCGACCAACGGACGTACTGGGACCTCCAGAAAAGAGGGGAACCATGGATCCTCCCAATATATTAGGGATCTTCAATTATATTAATAAGATTTTTGTAAACATTATTAAAGTAGTAGTATTTACCGGCCGAGGTCCCCAAGAACCCGAGATTTGGTTGCGGAACGGCAATTCAGAAAAAGGTGGAATTCGACTGTCGCGATAAACAGGTGTTCTTGGAAATGGTCTATTGTTGAAATTGCTTCCCCTGGGATCTGCAGTGTAATCCGGTTGAAATGTGTCTCCGTAATTAGGTGGCTAATAGAGTTTGGTTATGAATAAGTGATTCTACTTTTTAACATAACTAAATTACACTTACAGAAAACCTTGGAGTGTTCTCGGGATATTTAGGTGGCTAAAAGAGTTAAGTTTTGAATTAGTGATCCTTCTGTTTAACATATAATCACACTTACAGAAAACCTTGGAGCGCTCTGCGGATAGATAGGTCGGTCTTGAAATGGGCCGTTTCGGATGGGAACGTCTTCATCTTCATAAGACGCAGTAACTTCTTCCACTTCCCCGCTAGATCTCTAAAAAGATAAATAATATAAATTTAATTAGTCAGTCATTCAGTTATACTCTTCATTTGATCTTACCTCTAAAAATTCAACACCATTACTTGGTCCTCGCAAGGCGGTGCCGTTTCCGCCATTTGAAGAAGATCTATCAGAATTGGGCCCATTGCTTGATCTCTCGCCCACGGGCTTGAATAAATCCGTCGGTATATTGGATGTATCTCGACGAAATCTTGAAAGGGTGTCATTTCCACCATTTACCAAAGATCTATCACGGACTGAATTTTCGCCCACGGGTTTGAAAAAACTCGTGGGTATATTCGATGTATCGCGAGGAGTTCTCACCTGAAAATATTGAGTATTAGGTATAGAAAGTAATGATTTAAGATTCGGCTTCCGAGCGACTCACCTTGACCTCTGGAAGTGTGTGGCAAAGCTGGAAGATTCGGGAAGCATTGAATTACAATTTCTAGAACTTGCCAATTACAACTCACCCCCTCAGCGATCAACAGACAGCCCAATAGCACAAATTGGAGTGGCAACATCTCGCAGATCTCGACAGATACTTACGTCTCGAACTTCCGACGATCGACAGAACTATGAGTTGACTAGGCGGAATGCGCTGCAATTAAATGCAACGACGATCTCAACCCGTTCGACTGGAAAACACAAGGTGAGATTGTCGGGGCCCGGGGTTATCAGCCTGGGGAATACACGACAGGGAAATCAGAAACCAATAAATCTGTTCATATGCGCAACTCAGCAATTATCATTTTCCCGAATCTAAGAGCCTGTAATCTTGCAACTAAGAAACTTGCAAACAAAAAAAACAATAAGCTCAACCTTCGTCCACAAATGATTATTACATAGATAAATGATACAAAATAAAATTGCACTCGACTTTTGAAACCTATATTAATATGTCTTAAAGTTGGGTAAGTTTAATTTAATGCCATGAGTATTACAGAAAAGAAAGATAGATTCTACAAAAAACCCGTCTTCAAAGTGATCATTAAAAAACCAGTAATTATAAGTTAAAGAGTGTTTAATAATATGCTAGGAAATAATATAAATTCAACAATGACTTTAATTTCTTTTTGTTTTTTTTTAAGTGTTGAGTTTAGAGTATTAGTACCGTCCATAGCCATAGGGCGAACCATATCCGCCTCCTGGTCGGGGGAAGCTAGGAACAGTAACGACTGGTCTTCGGGGAACCAAATAGACCTGTGGGTAGCCAAAGCCAGGTGGCTTCAGGGCCACATCCTCCTCTGCACCCTCTTCGCCGGACTTGTCCTCTGGCTTATCCTCGCCGGAGTCCTCCTCGTGATTGTGATTGTGATTGTATCCAAAATTGGGACTAGGTCCGTATCCTGGTAAGCGTGGCTGGTAAATTGCCGGTGGCGGGTAGGGGGAGTAGGGTGATCTGAAGCTAGGATAGGCGGGGTATCCACTGGGCTTTGGGGATTCCTTGTCCGCGTCCTTGGGAGTGTCCGAGGTCTCCGATGGTGGGGCAATTTTGGGTCCCGAGGGTGTGAAGATCACACCAGGCTGAAGATACGGATACTGAGATGGGTAGGGGTGAGGATAGGGATAGGGATGGCTATGAAAATGGGGATGAGGATGGGGATGGGGATGTGGTTCGTGCTTGTGAGGCTTTGGAGTCGTCGTAGTTGTAGTTGTTGTGGTAGTTGTAGTTGTTGTTGGGGCAGGTGTGGTCGGTTCCGGAGTAGTTGACTCTGGACGGGCAGATCCATCGTTGCTCTGAACCAATCCTTCGTCCAGCTGATCCAAGCCATCATTGGGAGCAACGGTTCCCTCACCTTCCTGCTCTATTTTAGGCTCCTCCGTGGTGGTTACTGGTTTCGGAGTGGTGGTTTCCGGCTCAGGAGTAGTGTGCTTCACTTTCTTGTGCGGATGGGGAGGTTGAGGCTGGTACTGGGGAGGATAGTGGGGCTCCGGCGTGTGCGTATCATCGCCAATCTCCTCATCGCTATAGACCGAGGCGTCGATTTGTTTCTTAGCCTCCTCAAGTGTTAACTGGGCGTAGCTGAGCGCCAAGAGCTAAAATTAAAATGCATATTAAATTAATCAAGGCTTGCTTTTTTGGCCTGATCAAGATCAAGTACCCACCTGGCTAATTAGCAGTAGCTTGATGAACATCTCAATCGATTTACTGCAACTTGCAAGGGCCAAGCGAGAACTGATTGGTGTTTGCCGGTCATACCGAACTTATATAGCTCCAGAATCGCCCACAATTATGGAAATCGTTAAGCCCACAATTACACTCAGCCCGAAGCAATCAGCTCTCTATCAGCTATATCTCTCGAAAAACCCGATCAGCATCGCATCAGGTGTTGGATGCGTCTGCCCGGAATTTCCCAGACTGCGTTCGTAAATTTAAGATCGTCATCTATCAGTTGGTCACAAATAGAATTGGTGCTGGTTGTGCCCGTAAAATCAGGCAGCAACACCTCCAATCAATTTTGAACTGCTATAATCGATTGAACCTGCGCAGCAGCTATAAAAGGTGGCTTTGCCCAGTCGTCTCTTCTGGTTTCGACGAACCACATATATGTGTCAGGTGTGACGTTAATATGGCGAAACTTGAACTGAAACTGGTGAGGGCCAATGGGGCATTTCCTCTGACTTTTGCACATAATCGGATACATTCTTTGTTCTCAGGTCGGAATTGTTATATTCTTGGTAGCCGCTCTTAAGGCTCAGGAAACCCCAGCGACTGAATCATCTCCAGCCACGCTTATAGCTGGTGGAACTTCACCAGTAACAAAAAGCAGCTCTGCCGGAGAAACCACTAAAGCTGGGACAGAATCTACTGGATCAACAATCGATTCCCCAGATCATAATAATACTGATACCACGGAGAGTCCCACACACCACAGCTCAGAGCATAATGGAACACATCCTGCGGAAAATGGAGGAGACCCATTCGTTAAGCCAGGGAAACATAGACCAGGTCCACGCCATGTAAAAGCCCACGATGGGTTCCACAATTTAAGGACGGAGAAGAATTGGGCTCACTGGAATGACGCCTTCACCACACCCCGTCCTTAACTACCCTATATTATTTAAAACTTCTAATAATGTGACTTCACTTTGATTATTATTATAATAAAACAAACCCCAGGACAAAGCTTGCTATTTTATTTATATATACTTTCGAGAGGTTATAAATTTTTCAATTTGGTATAGTGTGGTATAAACTTCAACAATGGAGGCACCCTATACTGTATTCCTTAGAACTTAAAACATGACGAATTTAATTAGATACCGGAGAAACGTGCCAAGATGCGGTTGGTTTTTTGGTAAAATAATATTCTAATGAAATGGAATGACAAATCATATATTTAATTTCTTTAAAAGTACCTTCTTCTGTGCCAGCAGACAGTATTTTCGATGAGAAAAGTGCACCATGCAGTGGCTCACGATGGATTCCACAATATCGAAAAGGAGAGACGCTGCAGAAATTGGCCAGCACGTGTGAGGTCTCATCATAAACGACATAACCCAGTCTGAGTGTTACCAATGTCGGAATCGCACGCGATCATTATTTTCCCCGTTGTTAAAATCATTCGCAGTGCAATAAATGTCTCAGAACTCGACGAACAATGGGAAACGGAAACCTTGTCCGTCTATATCTATGGATCACTGATTAATTGATCATTTTAAAGGTTCCGAATGCATAATTGATAATACTATTAACATTTACTGACTCGCTGAGAATATTTCTCTTGACTACAAGACAGATTTCTGATCTAATTGTTGCTAATCCAGTGTCTTAGGAGAAATTACTTTTGCCAATAAAAATCTCTGAACTTTCCAGTTAATTAGTTACCGAGTACGTATATGTATAAGTATACTTACATCAAATGTTTTAAGAACTATTTTACATTTTAAAGCGAATCATTTACTAGAAATTAATTAGTTCTATTCACGGTTTGAAATTTTACTTAATTGTGATTTCACGTATGACTAAATTTTCACTCAATAAGTGACAGTCATGGGATCAAGGTTTAACCTCTTGGGTATCCTCGTTTGCCTATTGTTTCTCCTTGTCAATGTGGATGGCAAAGGCAATAAGCATCACTCGCCCGACGACAGACAGCGTCATATTCGCCCCCACAATATCCATAGACCTCCCTATGAGGGTTACGAGTGGTACAAACAGTGAGTAATGGATTTGCCCAAGCTGAGGCATACACACCAAAATTTGCACTTTCTTCAGTTATAACCGAGATTCCGATTCGGACATAAGCGCTCCAAAAGAAAAGGTATAGAAACACCATAAATCCAGGCCTGAGGTTGTGAATAGAATGAGGTAAGCTGAGCAGCTTCTCCAAATGTTGGTGATGAAGGAACCACTTTCTTTTCAGGGTAGGGCGAGAAATGGACCAAAAGGAGCCCAATTGACTCAGGTCCTGAAACCATCTATTTTAAAATTTAGGCATTTGTACGATTCCGTGTTTAAAAAGCATCCAGAAGCCCGTCGCACCTTAATTCTCTTAAAAGACATCATCATCATGACTTTATCAACTAAAATAATTGAATTGGTATCTTATAATAAGTGTAGTAAGCGTTGCTCTAAAACAGATCCTAGAGTTTGGTTTCCCGGAAGAAACTAATGACTGACCCAAGATCGTTTAGTTTAGGCAGCAGCCATAACTTTAATTTCGACTATCTTGCTTCAACTTAATACACATAGACGTCGGCTAACTTAATCACACACAATAGCGGAATTATTTAAAGATAGCGCACTTAGTTCTTCCACTTCTTGTTCTCGTAGTCCCACTTGGAGGTCAAACCGGTGACGGGGTTCATTTCCAGGTCGATGATGCGCTGCAGCTGGGCCTTCTGGTGCTCCTCGTCGAAGGTGACGGGCAGCTCATCGTAGACTAAAAGGAAGACACAGTATTTAGCAAATGGACAACCATGAACGGGATCAATCAAGGCTCACCGAAGAGGTTCATCAGAATGGCCACCCAGATGGCGGCGGCTGAGAAGAGCAGGGCAATGCCCAAGTGGAGTTTCCACTCTCCGGTACCGGCCTGGACCTCGGCGATCGTCTGGCAGAAACTGGCGCGGTACAGGGCCTTGATCTCCTCGGGGCTGAGCTTCTTCCAGTCACCCTGCTCCTTGGTGCGCAGTGCGTTGATCTCGTTGGTGGGCTCACGGAAACGCACGGCGGGCAGAGGGTAGTCCACGCGATCGGCGTAGCAGGCGGTGCCGTTCCAGCCGTAGCCGACGATCTCCCGCTTGCCGATCTTGTCCAGAGTGTGGACGGCGGCAACGCTGCCAACCTGGGCGTTCTTGGGCAGCTGGGATGCCAGCCGGCGGAGCACAGCGCTGTTGATCAGTCTGAGGGCCATCTTCTGCAATGGAACAGGGTTTGTTATGAGTTGATAAGGTGTAAATAAGGAAGATACTCCTTAAGGTTAGGGCTATATAATGCCTTATTCATTAAAGCGGAACTCTTATGAATAGTCATAGAACGTAGTAGAGGTATAATCTCCGAAATCTCCTCCATTCGAATTTTAACCGGGTAGAAAAAAATTCTAACACTCAGTTACTGAATTTAGACAGTATATAGAAATTAATCAGGCCCAATTTCTCACGGGGTCTGCGATGGGATATAGAGCCCATTGGGTTGGAGGTTATGTAACAGCTGGAGGACTACGTGATGAGTTATTAAATCCATTTCCATAATCTCCGATTGATTAGCCCGTCTAGTAGACCTTGGCGCCATATATTTTCCTGGATTTCGTGCTGTTATTGGCATAATATCCGCATAATTCTCCCATTTTTCATTGCCATCACAGATGTTGTGTAATCGGTGGGCGGTCGCATCTCCCGGAAAACCGCTTCTAAGCCGGTAACAATGGGGGTTTCTATTATGTCATGGGATGTTCTTAGCCCTTATCACTTATAATAGCTTAAAGCTCACTATTTTTTTCTAATTTCCGCTATTTTTAATAATTTTTAGACTTATACCCACTTTTTTTGACTCGCAACTAGTGTGACCGCGGAATTATAGATAGATTATACCGTCCGGCTCTGAGAAAAATACTTTAATTACATTTAGAAATATACCAGAAATATTCTTTAAGCGGTCACACTGCACAATAGCGAAGACACCCTCCTCAACAAGCGGAGACCCAATCCCATATATATCGATAGCTTTGTGTTATCGGTTAGCTTGGCGCCAAATTTAAATTGAACCGAAACTTTGTTTTCTTCAAAATTAACTATAGTCCGAATTCCGATAAAGGAAACCACAATTAATGTTTGATATTATATTTTATTTTGATTTGATGTCATAATCTCATAAATGCACACATTTAAATTAGACAGAGACACATAATTTGCTTTATCGTATCATATAGTTTTACTGTTTGAATTGGTAGTATATGTGATTATCTTTCGATAGGGATGTGGTGAGTCGGTAATTTAGCTATTTCATCAAGGATGGGGCATTACGTATTCACTTTCGCGTATTCCTGTGTTTAAGCGCCGCTTGGCATAATAAATATTTAAACGGTATTTTGCTTCATTGGGTTTTATAAATATGCAATATGTTTGTAACAATATTTAATGATAATTACGCAAATAATTAAACTAAAGTGAAAGCTTTTTCCTTCAACTATACATCTTGTAAATTGGTAGTAGCAAAAACTTATAGCTACATTTACAGTAGAGTTAGGTATTAGTTGCAATTTAACTTAAATGATCTGCCGGTTCTGGGCTAGGATACAGGGTATAAAAAGTCTAAGCCGCCGGACAGATGCACACTTAAGCATAGGGTATTTTGTTTGTTCTATATATACAAAAATGAATTTACTTTCGTTAACATTTCATGTTAGTTAGGGTTTCTTCTCTCAAGTTTTTGGGGTTTTCGGAAACGCAGCCGGGGGCCCAAGATTTTTGGGATGGTAGTGGAGTTTTGTGTGGGGCTTGACAATTTGCATTTTTAACAAGTGCGCTAAAAAGTGCAATTTACTCTAGATGGCAGGGAGTGGTTAGAGATGGTCGGGGTAAATGGTGATTTGGTGCAAATGGAATACTCTTGGAACTGCTTTTGAACCAGGCTGCGAAAGTAGTGCAAGAAGTCTCATTTGTGCGGGGAAAGGATAGTCAGGGTAATCCTGGTGAAGTGCAGCAGACCCTCGGCTAGCGTGCTCCTTCTAGTTAGTCCATTTAAATTTGGCATGTACGAAGTGGTTGGTTTATATGGCCCTTTACTCGGCTCCGGCTGAACTGTCTGGGGTGACATTCGAGTCCAGACTGGCGCAATCGGACTCCTGATCCTGGGCCTCCGAGTAATTGGCCGCCTCCTGCAGGCGCATCAGCATGTTGAGCTATATATATAGTATTTATTAGTAAAGGTTTATAATTAGATCATATAAATATCCTACCAAGGGATCCTGCTGCTCCCCGTTGGTCAGAGCCACGCCCTCGAGACCCACATCTTCGGCATTGATCTGTCGCAAGGGGGGCACCGAATCCGGACCATAGGGCCATGGATAGGAGTTCCTTATAAAGGCAGAGGGGTCATTCCAGGCGCCACCTCGTCGTCCATACAGCTGCACGCCCTCGCGAACGGCCTCTACCAAATAAGGTGACAGGTGGTAGTTCCAGATGTCCGTAAACCACACCTGCGAGTCCTTCAGATCCAGCGGACAGGCGAGGAACAGCCTGGGTCCGATGGTCACATCGCTGGAGCTGTGCACCTCCAAGAATCGGTTAATGTGCTGCCACACGGAGGGCAGCCAGGCCAGAACAGCCGCCAATTCTGGCTGGGGATGTTGCGTCTGCAGTTCCAGCTGGAAGAGCCGTCGTCGCAGGAAACGGCCCAGGAAACCCTTCACGGGCTCCATGTGATTTGCTGTCAGGACCTGTAATGTAATTAAAATTATATGATAAGATTCTATTTATTTTTAAAGATCTTAACAGATCAGTAAGAACATAGCCGGTTTAACTATTTTTCTTAAGAAAAAATTAGATTTTAAATGTGATTGTTGTGTTTTAAAGTATGTACTTTAGGAAAACAAAGGTTATTAGCTTTAAAATGCTATATCTTTGGATCTAACGGCATGATCGTGGTGATTTTTGTGTGAGTGCAAAACAACAAAACCATTTTTGGCTGGAAGTAGTATATACACACCCCCAAACCACTTACCCATCGGAAATTGTGGTGCAGCTGCAGGTTGGTGGTGTTGCAGGTGGCCTGCGACATGGTGCCAATGATGCAGGGCAGCTTGTTGGCCGGTCCGGCGCTCAGCAGACAGGAGAAAACATCGCCCAGGGCGGAGGCATGGTGCAGGTTGTCCAGAATGATCACAGAGGGAAGCTCGGAGGCTCCATTGGCGATGGCAGCCTGCTCGGCAATGTGGCCCAGATACTGACGCAGATCCTTCGAGGATTTGTGGTCAACACTAAGGGAAGATGTATGTTTTAACAATCTAATAGGCATAGTGGATCTAGAAGACTTACTTGAATGTGGCAATGGCCTCCGAGGGATTGCCCCTGGCTGCTCGGGCCACGAGGAACTCGGCCAGCCTTCGAGCTAAATAGGACTTTCCAGTGCCACTGGGTCCGCAGAGGATCAGACGGCGGTGCTCCGTGAGCAGACTGATGTATCTGTGGACAATGCTGCGCGGGATGAGGCTGTCAAAGGCCAGACTTCCCACTCCCTGCAGGCAAATGTAGAGGGTTCGCACACTGCCCACAATGTATCCGCAGGGCAGGAGTTCCGGGAAACCCATCTCGGGACCCCTCTTCGCCTCCCCCAGATGATACGAGGTGATGGAGTCCGTGTTCAGGCCCAGATTGGTGCCCGGATCAATGCGAGCCACATAGTCCTTGAAGGTCTTGCGCACCACATAGTCCAGATTCTGCCACGTTGTCTTGCCGGAGATGTAGGTGCAGGCGATGACGTACTCGTTGCAGCTGGCACTGGCGTAGTTGGACTTCCGCTCGCCCTGGGATTGGGCATCCGCCTCATGGCCATTGGCATAGAAGCCATCGAGTTCCTGCAGTTCCTCGCAGTACTTGGCAAACGCCTCCGGTTGTCCCAGATAACAGGCAATGGCTATCTTCTTGCCATCACACACATCCGCCAGTTCCTCGGTGGCACTGGCCATGTGCACGGGACTGGCCAGAGGAGCTGCCTCCAGGGCGGGTGGAGGAGGTGTTAAATCAATGTGGGTACTAGGACTAAGGGGCGCCACACCGACCACGCCATTGGGAGCCGGTGGTGGTGGTGGTTCGGGAGCTGGAGCCGGTGGCAGGCACTCTTCCTCCAGTTCGAGTTCCTCACTCAATCGGGCTGGAAGATCCATGGGCGGGCGATTGTTGCCATCGGCCAGGGAATAACGCCTGGAGACCTCCGAACTGCCGGCCACCGATCCATTGGGACTGATGGCCTGGCCCAAGCTGGCCTCCGAACCAGCCAGTGATCGCGTGGTCACCAGTTTCTGGAGCCGCTCATTGTTGTGCTTCAGCGACATCATCTCCGCCCGCATCTTGTTCATCATCTCCTTAAGGCTCTCCAACTGGGAGGCCGAACTCAAGGCCTCCAGACGAATGTCGGTCAGCACAAGATCCTTCTCCCGCAACTGCTTCTTGAGGTCCTCCACCACCTGCTGATCCTCCTGCTCGATGGCATCAATGGGCTTGGCATTGTCTATGAGGGTTAAAGTCTTGGCGGGACTGCTCTGCTTGCTGTTGGGCAAAGGAGGAGCAGGTTGGGTGGCCAGGGAGGCCAGACCCAGTGGCTCACCATGACCATTGGAGAGGGGCAGCTCCTGCTGCGAATGGTTGTGATGATGATGATGATGGCCACCCACATGGCGACTCGTCTTGGCGATCTTGGCATTGCGGGAGAAGGCCTTGGTGAAGCTGCTCCTTAGCCAGCCCTTCTTCTTGTTGGCCTTGTTCTTGTCCTGGGCCGCTGAGCAGCCGGAGCTGATGGAGTTCAGGGAGCACATGGAGTCGGTGCTGTGTTGTCGCTGCATTCCCAGGGTCAGAGTGCCATTGTTGTTGCTGGACCTTTGAGCTCCTGCAGTTGGTGGCTTCTGGTCAGAGCCCGGCTGGCCAGGCTGCATCCCTGCTCCCTGACCCTGCGTCTGGACACCCATGCTCTGCATGTGCGCCGTGGTCAGGCCCGCCTGGATGGACTGCTTCCTCAGCAGCTCGATGGTCTGCCGCATGTCCGTCAGTTCGCCATCCTTGCGCTCCGCCGTCGCCGTCAATTGCTGCAGTCGGTTGGTCATGTTGGACAGCGATTGCTCAAAGGCGGTGACCACATGGGCCTGCAAGAGGAAGAAAAGGAGAGGGTTTGGGTTAAGGTGGGTTCTGGCCAGGTCTGTACAATCCATCATCGCCCGTTTTGAGCACATCTCGTTCGTGTCTCGAATTCTGAAATCCAATGTTGCTGCTTCGTATGCAAGGCGTTCCACCCGCCACTTGCAACTCACCACGGCCACATGACTCATGGGCAATGAGCTTAGAGCCGGGCTTTAAGAACTTTTCAAAAACTTCAGTCCCTTCTCTGGAGTACGTGCACTTGGAGAACGTTCCACCTCAGTTTCTTATTTCATGGGAAACCACCTATTACAACTCTACTTAAACCCTATTTAAGAACTTAATAATAAGGTGTGCGATATGAAAAATAATGGCGTTGGAGTTCATAATAAAGTTAAGATTTAAAGATCTCAAGAGGTAATTTTTATGATATATAATGTTTTAAGAGGCAATAAGGGTATTCAAAAAAGGAAAGGGTACAAACTTTTTGTGTAGTAATTGTAAAAAAAAATATCTTTTAAAATGTTTTTACTTTGTTTTTAACTATTTATGAAAACCAAAATATTATCTCATTTTAATTTAGACAAAATCATAGTGTTCCACTATTTCTTCGTGTGAACTTTGGAACCAATGTCACTTCTTGTGCATTGTTGTGTCAGCACTTTGCCATCGTTGCTTATTTTTTATGAGCCAACGTGACTGGCCAGAAATAAGAGAGAACTCAGGGTAAATGCTATATTATCCACATATATATATATCTGCATCAAGTTGATGAGTGCCATTAGAGAAGTTCAGAGGAGAAAAGTGGTGACTCAGAGCGGATGTTGTAATTGCCAAGGAAGTAATGAAGAAAAAGCTCATTCTCTTCCCATTGCTCGTAAAATGCTTTGATATTCCCTTGCAATTTAGCGTTTTTATTATTATTAAATTAAGCGACATGTCGGGAATTTCAAGTGCACCAGACTAATTAAATTATGAATTTGCCAAACGTGATCACAACAAGTGTTGCGCCCTCCCGCGTACATTACAATCCATGCGATTTGCATTTAAAAAACCACGTAGTAACCCTTTCAACTTTCTCCGCATATGCATGTTTGGAAAAGGGCTCTGAAATCCAAACTCTGAATCGTTTGGCTGCCAACTCACGTAGGTGGCGGGCATAAAAATTGATTACGGTGCGTATGAGTAACGTGACACACAGGATAAGTCGGCACCTTGGAAGGATGGCTTCCTTCCACTTCCCGCTAACAATTAAAACGTATTAACGGGCAATTGTCTTCTGAGCGGATGATAAAGTGGAATCCACTTCCAAGTGATTTTATTTAAGAGCACGGGCATGAAGTTAGCTTCGCCTATTAAAACTTTTGCCCCACACCGACCTTGAACCGAGAAAACCTTTCCGAGAGTGCTCATCATCCACTGATGACGGATTTCCATCTAGAAAAAATGTACGTCTATAGAGCGTGCCATCGCAATTTGCATAAATGAGTGGCAAATTAAAAAGCGAAACGTGCTAGATGGTTATCAATAAACAAGTGGCAAATCGAGGGAGAGCCAGAAATACAGATTTGCTGCCATTCTAGCAATTATAATTAGTTAGGATGTGTGTAAGTGCCTCCCTATTTGTTTTCAATTTTTCAAATGGGTGTGTTTTTTCTCCGGTAGCTATTAATTTCGATGAGGTCATGCCTATGTCCAGTGAACTAACAAACCGCATGCCAATGCTAATGTTGGTTTTACCGCATTAAGCGAGCTTCTATTTTCCGAAGCTGTAGCAAAGCTGATAAGCATTTAATTAAATTTTAAATTATATACTTTATAGCTTTCGGTAGCAGCCGTAAATGGCTACACAAATCCGTTTAAATCTAAAGCGGTTCGAGATTAAAGAGAAGAATTGCTTGCCACCCACTAGAGGTAAAAACATTTCAATTTGCAAAGATTGATTGTGTAGCGGCTTAAATACTTTGTTTATAAAAGGCAAGGCTTTAATTTAAAGATATAAACTAATGGACCTTTTTCTTGGCTCTTGGTTAAATTTTCGAAGTCGTCAATAATGCGACTAATTGTTTTAGAAAAAACTGCTTGCAAATTATATAAAAGGAATTTTAAAACTTAGTTTGTATATTTTATAATTCATAATTTCATTTATAGTTTATTCTCTGGCTGCCTATATCAAATTAAGTTGACAAAGCAAGAACTTTTGATATCTTTGACTCACGTACTTGCAATTACTAAAATGGTTTTAATATTTGTAGTGCTAATAAACATAAGGACAAAGTTGAATAAAGATAAATACATATGTGTGAAATAATTAAAAGGTTATATTTAGGTCTGCTCTGGTACGGGGTCATCAGTTTTCGAGTCTTCGAGCTGTTTGAACTGTATCAAGATGACCAGATATGTGGTGACTGCCGAAAAAATCTTAAAGAGCGTAGAATTATCTATGGCGAAAAATCCGTATGCCGTGAACTGGACCTCCTGCTTTATGCTCTTGGTTAGGAATTTGTCAATGATATTCTGATACTCCCTGCACTTGGCATATACCCTCGCTAGTATTTGTGCTGTAGCGTTGGCCTTGAAAGAAGCACTCATGCTGATTAGTTAGTTAACTAATCTCTGATATATCACCTCACCTCCTTGGTGGTAAGACCACAACTCCGGGACAACAGGGCCAAAAGGGAAAAGTGAAGGCAGAGCCACGCGAAGCACCACTGCAGAATGTTGGGCGACACCATGCCCTTCGCAGTGATCTGAACAAAAAGGTTATAGCAATTGGTGGTGACCGTGTAGAAGGAGTATCCCAGGAAGGAGACCAGAATCAGGTTGCAGCAATCATTGATGCCCTTGTAGATACGCAGCAGTTTGTTGTGCATGCGGTATATGAAGAGGGAGTCCTCGGGGAAATGTTCCATAACAGCGGCATTGGGGTTAATATTATTATTACCACGCGCTCGCCTCCCTCCGCCTCCTTTGCGCTTATTCTGCTGCCCATAGGTGTATTTAGTCAATAGTTCATTTATAAAATGAAATCGTATATAAACAATTCTGAGTAAAGCCGAAGCAAATACTATATACGTGGCTGTCAGGCCATTTTGGATAGCATAGAAGGCTAGCAGTATATAGGAGGTGGGTGTGATCACTCCTTGGACGGCATATATTTTTAAGACAATGATATAAGTCTGGCAGGCGGCTATTCCCACCAAAAACTTCACAGAGAAGCCAAAGTTTTGGTTCAAGTTGGCGCCAAACTGTCGACGTATCTCCTCATCTAGTTGCAGAATTTCATTCATGATCCTTAACATGCTCTTAGTATTCCGGGCACACACAAAAACGGTAAGGGTATAGGTTAGGATGCACAGCAGTAGTTCGATCCATTGGTTCACATTGTCGGTCTCCCGGTAGGAGTAAAATAATTGCGCCGATATAGGTGTAAATAAACTATAGACATTGAAGATGGTCAAGGCGTGGACGGCGCCTCTTACAAAGAAGGAGTAGAACTCGTTGGTTTTGGTCGGAGGTCCCACTTCATAATTGGAAACTTGTTCGTATATAGGCATCAAGCCACTAGCCTTCAGCACGGATAATATAGTGCGAATGTCCTCAAACACGGGGTAATCGTGGTTCCTTAAAGGAACAGGTTCTGGCACTGTCGTGCTATCCCTAGTGAAGGCATCCCTTATAGACGCAGTTCTGTAAGGAGAAACTCTTCGCGGATACGGTTGTGATCGCGTTTTTTGCGCGGGCATTTCGACTATCCAAGTGTTCGGGGACATCGCCAACGAGGCACTGACAGGAATAAACGACACGGCTAACACGGTTCACACGAGTGGGTTCAGTGTTATCTGATTGTGTTGGGGTCACGGGTCTGGACTTCAAAAGCCATTAGAATAATTGCTTATGCATATGCTCATTTATTAGAAAATTTGTTCTCAGACTATATACCTTTTCTCCAATAATGTTATTTTCATTATTGCTGATAATATCCTATTCAAGCTATCTTAATGTCTGCAATACAGGAAAAATGCGGCAAACACTTCAATGAACAGCAAAGAGAAGATTTGAAAGGAAACACGCGCTTAAAAAACTAAAAGTCAAGCATTGCAGGCAGCAAAGGAAAAATGCAAATTGAGAAGGGAAATAGGAGGAGCAAAAAACTACATTGAAATTAAAATGAGACGAAAAAGAGAGATGGCTGCTTTTCCCCTAAAAAGCCCCACACAGTGCATCTCAAACTGCGATAGAGGGTCTAAGAAGGGGAGCTTGATGTTGCTGCTGTAGTTGATGTTGCTCGTGTGGCTGATGTTGCTGCTGTTGCTGTTGCTGTTGCTTTTGCTGCAGTTCATTTGCACGTTGAAGGCAACGGAGCGTAAAACGGTTATGCATCAGCTGCGAGCGACACGCAGTCAGAAAATAAAAAACAGAGATATAGAAGGGGATAAAACAGGCGGTCGGTCCAAGGGGCCACATGCTAAATGGCTAAGGCAACAGCAGAACCCGCTGCAAAATTGCCAACTTTAATTTGACTGTCAATGTTGCTGGCAGCAGGAGGGGGAGTGTTGCTCTTTGCCAGTGATGCATTGCTGAATTTATCGCTGGCAATTTGCAGACACAAAACAAAGTTCAAGTTCAACGGTGGGCCACAAAATGTTCTGCCCACCGAAACTTGTTTAAAAAGCAGCTCGTAGCCAGGGGAATTACTGATTACCAACTGTCTGATAATATTTACCACTTGATAAGACCAAATGGCCTTCGATTAACTGCGTTCTTTGATAGTGGGTGGTACAAGTAGGTCGTGTCCACTGATAAAACTAAATAAACTCCAACAGCAACCGAAATTGCCCGCTGGTGTTGCTGCTGGGTGCATAAATCATGCTGCAACAGCAACGACTGTTGCTGCCCACTTGACAATTGTTGCAGACATCAGACATCGGGCGACCATGTGTTTTCAGAGTTTCGATGTTGGTGTCGCCAACATGCCGTAGGCGTGTGCACTTTGACCTTTCCCATGATTTATGCCCCGCAAAAACAACACCAGCCAACATGCAACAACAGCAGCCGCTGCAGCAACTGCAACACTTGACATTTGCTGGATTTACACAAGAGAAGCAAACTGTAGCAGTTGTCACAGGGTTTCCTGATTTATTATTCCACTCGGTATGCGGGGGCGAGCCTCCTCCTAATTTGCATTGGAATATTTGATGATTGATGAGGGCTTCTTCTCCGGCCTCCGAAATCAGTGAAAGTTTTCCCAAGGATGGGCGGATGTCTGGCCAGTAATGACTAATTGCAGAAGGCCTCCCAAGGTCAGGTGTCAATTTGAAGCTCGAAATGGCTTTGACCTTCCTAAATTATGAATGTACATTGTTGCAATGCTGATTGAAATTTTCCGATAGTGGAAAATTAATGAAGATGGAAGCTGAAGACTCTAACCTATGTGACTTTGCCATGATTGAAAAGGCCCCCTCGTGTTTGATTGCTGATTGAGATTAGAAAATGCTGCCTTACACTATCAGCGGGGCATTAGCCACTTTAACTAGATAAGATAGTGTGTGCTAAATAGAAACTATTTTTAAACAAAGAGTTTCTCTTGCCCAGCACTTTGAATTGTTAGAAGAGTTCTGAACGAATTAAGTGATTTTTTGTGTTCCCGAATCAAGAATGGTTTCCTGTTCGGGATTCCATTCAACCATTTCTGGATTCTTTTTTTTAGACCCCATCGAATTCGAATTCTACGGCCTGCCACATAATAAAATGATTAACAAACTAATCCGTTCTGATTGTTTGTGGCGCACACAAAGTCGCGAATCGAAGTGGCTGAATAAAGCGGAACACCAAGGAAACACAGACATGACCATCGGGATCCTGAGCCGCGAGCGGAGAAAAAATAGCAAATCATCATTAAAAATCTTGGACAGCTCGGGGGAGATGGAGATCGGTGGAGAAGTGACAGCAACCCACAACGAAGTTATATCCAGACAGTCCAGTCCAGTCGAGTCCACTTTGATCCGCCGCCACAGTCTCCGCTGCAACTTCGATTTATTTCTTCGTTTTTTTTCTACAAGAATGGAAGACTCTGTCCCAGTGGCTGGTGAAAGATCAAGATTGCTGGCTCCATTATTTGTACAATTGCGGATTCGCCCCCACTCTTTTTTCTGTCCCGCACAAGCCGTGCCAAAAAAATAATGTTACCCAGATAAATATGCCATTTGGCTAATGGTATCCAACCGCAAACTTACGCCAACCCCATCGCATTTTTCGGTTTTCCACGTATGTGAACTTACCTGCAAAGAGAGAAAAAAGAGATTGCAAAATTAGTTGATTGCAAATAGCATGGCTGAGATTGGGTATGGTACAGGAGATATTTTTAAAGATTTAAGAGATTAAAGAGAGATTTAACTTCAGTAAATAAAACCATAAAACAAGACTACAAACATTTTAAGTATACAAATATATTGCCTATCATCTAAGAGTGTTTTTTTTTCTTTTCCCGAGAGTAATTTATTTGGATTCTTCTTGTTTTTATATTTTTAGTAATACCCACATCTAATTTTATGATGTCTCATCAATCAAAAGATAATATTTTGATGGCTTGTTTATAGACTTCAATCGGATCAACCTAAACGAGCATTTCGAAATCGTTTCGTCTGATGTTATTCCTCCGATGTTCTGAGCATTGTCACTCAAATTCTTTATCAAACAATCCCGGACAATCACAACAATGACTGGCTTTGGCTGCCCATGATCATGACGATCAATGGCCATTCAAGGGCCCTCTGTTCCCCTTTTTTACATCATTTGTATTTTTGTTTTCGTATTTTATTGATTTCTTTTAAGACCGGAAGCCACAAGAGGCACGTCCAACACAAGAGACAATGAAGATGCAATATAATATTTGTGTGGAGCATTCAAATCAACATCGCATCTGAAAGTTTTGAGCTTGTTTACATTTTCCCCTCTTTGTTGCTTATCAAACGAGAGGCAACCTAAGATACTTGGAGTTGAACTTGGGTTTTGGCTTTGGGTTTGGGTTTCTGGTTTCTGCAGCTCGAATCTGTTTGACCATTGTTGTTTGTTTTGATTCTGGGCTTGAGTCGAATTGAGTTTACTTTGCCAGTCACTGATTTCCTCGGGGAGACGCGGGTATATATATAAATATACAGTCTGCGAACTGACTCGTCCTTTTCCCCAACAGCTTCATCATGGTCACGTCTTTGTTTCTGAACCTTTTGCTTCGTTTTTCTCTACTTTTCCAGCTTGTCTTGCGGTCGGAAACAAGTTTTCGTGTTCTGTTTTTTTTCGATGGGTTTCGGCTGTTGGTCTTTTGGGAACCCTGCCGAAGAACTACTTGTAGAAAACTGGTTTCGAGCCCCAGTCAGCCACCTGTGACAGGTCGAATGGCCACAAAAAACAGCCAGCGAACAAATGAACAAACTACAAAATCCAAACACGTGCCCGGCCCGGAATAATTTGCTGACTTGCACAGTGAAATGAATAAATATTTATAATTTAATTACAAATTGAAAGGGGCTGCTGCACCTGAAAATCGGGAATCGTGTAGAGATACTCTGACTGTCTGAGAAAAAACAAACTGGCCGCCAATTGAGAAAGACACTTGGACATTCAGTCAGTTAGTTTGCTAGTTAACCAGTTTCTTTGTTGGCTCAGTGCCGCAGTTGCAATCATTATCTGCAAGATATAAAGATATTTCATGTGCAGTCGGCCACTCGCCACAATCGCCAGTTTGCCATCTCGTTTATCACAGAGCAACTGTTTTAATAAGCGATCCCCAATAGATAAAAAGCAACAAGTTATTTAAGGCCAGCCTCAGTTTGCCAATTTGTTGGCGTTTTGTCGGCCAAAAGATTTATTAATTATGCATGGCGCAGCGCTTTGAAAGTGGCACAAACGGTTGACGAACTGTCCTTGCCACAAAATAGAGTCTTTACTGGTTGAAAAGTATTCTATAAGAGGCTGTTGCAGAGTGAGTGATTTCACTGTTAAATTAATAATTTTTGTGACAGATAATATTCAATTGAATGAACTTATCAGGCCTTACATAAATCAATTACAAAAGCAACCTTTCCCCATCAAGTAATCAAAATCACATCAATCATTTTACAGTCTACTTCTTCCTAATTCACGATCACCATTAAACAATAACAATTGCCAAATATGTAAATTCCAAAAAAATAAAAAAATACCTCAATGAATTAAATCAATTAAAAGCAATCAACTTCTGGCTTTAACCCATTGACTCCCCAATAAAATTTGTGTTATCACCTCTTGACCACTTGCGATCAGTGCTGCCCAAACTGTCAGCAGGCGCTTGTTCACACGCCATCTGACAATTTCACTTTCCATAGTTGACTTCTTGGCCAGCTCGGGTTACCACTGCCATACTGCCATCGAGGACTGGCAGCTGTTAGAGCCGCTCATAAATAAACATGAAATGAACATGAAAAACGCCTTAAAAACAGTCGGCGGCGTCGCTGGGGCTAAGCTTAAAAACCGCTTTAAAAACGCGCCAAATCGAATATGAGCAAAAAACTACTAAAAAAAAGGCAAAGGAAAATAAACTGAGAAAACAAAAAACAAACGTACTCAGCGTGCGGCCTTAATGGCAACTTTATTTGTTTTGAAAGTTGACATTGATTGGACCCGCAATTGGCGACGAAGTCTTTGGGTTTTGTTGTCTTTAGTGCTGCGATATTGATGTTGGATTGCCTGTCTGAATGAGTAGGGTATATAGGGTGATATAAATGGGTATATATCTCTCATTTATTTCATTCAACATTTGACGATTTAATTGCGGTCACTGAATACCCAAGTTTTTATGTTGAGAGCTAAGTTACCTGCAATCTGCTATTACCATATATCTATAGACTATAACATTTGATCCTTAGCGTACTTTGATTTTAACTTTAATTCTTCTCCTTAGACTAGATCTTAGACCTTTGGGACTAAGAAAGTATGGTACTTGAGTCTATAGATTCTAATGTAAGAACTATTTTTTTGAACACAAACCGATGTCTATATAATATTAGTTATGATCGTTATTTTACTAGTTACTTATTATCATTTAGGTGGTCTTTTTGAAAACTAATGTACTTAATTTTATTTATAGCAGTTTTCTGCTAAATGTTAAATATGATATTAAGTAAACTGATGCTCAGGTAAACTCCAATGACATTCTCATTTCCCTCAAGTGTGGATTTCAAAACCAAAATCGATGATATACCTCGACTGCATCGCTTTCATTTATCTTCCCACTGCAGGGCATTCCAATGGCTGGGCAGACCCCATCGATGTCTGATTTCTTTCGTGGACAAATCAATTGCATGTTCCGCGGAATCAGGTCATCGGTTTTGGTCATCAGCAGCAGGGGCCACCGGTGCAGAAACTACAGATGTGGCTGTGCTGTCGTCGTGGGATTACACTCCAGTGGCGCTCAAACTGTAATCCATGGGACGTAAAACTAATGGGTGAAGACTCAGTCTAGCTGCTTTACTATGCCAGTTAGCTTAGCCCCGTGCCCAGAGGCCTTTGTAGCCAGCTTGGCTCATGCAAGTTTGATTAAATCAATCAGCGCACAAAAGCATCTAACGGCGACTGACAGTCGTACATGGCAACTCTGAATGGGACTCGGTTTCTGGCTCTGTGGCCTTTACCAGATACTTATTCTATGGCCACTTTAGCTACAACTGGCTGTCGAGTTCTTGTCCACAGCCCGATGCTCCTGCATTGCTTGGCCATATTCGATGAGCTGGAGCTGCATTCGTAATGCCGAAGCCGGATGAGGAATTCCAGGTGAAGACATCAGCGGGAACAGAACACGCACGACATTAAATTTATAGCCACAGCGAGAAACCGCATAGAATTTGTAGAATTCGCGGTTGCATTACAGCCTTGCTAGGGAATGACAGGGGAAGGTTCCCTATCCTCTGGGTTCTTAAAGCAGTTTTTCTATTTTGCCACTTAGCTTAAAGTATTTACATGAAAAGAGCTGGTAGCAGAATTTGTTAAGGATAAGAAATCTCGGTTTAATTTTAAAAGAGTTTTAATACCATTTAAATGGTGGTGATACTATACTACATTTTAGTTTGATAATGTTTTCCTACAATTAACGGTCGGTTATACTGGTAAGGATTGGGATAAAACTCAGTTTAGATAAAAGTTTTTAAAGATTTGTCTTAAAATTCGTATAATACAGCATTTTCTTTTAATATACTTGGCATAAATTCATAATTTGATATATATATATGTGGAAAAATGTCTAGGCTTCTAGGTCCTACTTATTTATTTATACAGAATCTAATACTTTTTGGTCCTTGTCTTGGGGTATATTTGTTAAATATTATATATTATTTTTTGATAAATCAACTAAGATAATCTTTATAACAAAACCCCATATTGGTTCATAGCAGTACATTACCTGTTCAAGCTCCTCCTGGGGCGAAGCTGCCAGGGTCAAGGATCCGCATGCTCCTCCTCCCACTCCCGATCCGCTGATTGGCGGACATGACTGCCGCTTGAAATCCCGTCGAATGGCCAGTTCGTACCAGGGAATCATCGGCTTGCTTCTTAACGTGGTCTGGCATCCGATCTTGAAGTCCAGTGGGTCCATATACTCCGGAGCCATTCGGTTCAGATCGCTGACGGCTGCT